CATGTATTCCATTACAAATATATATTCTTTTGTAGCTGGATCTTGTGTTAATCCATAAATTTTATTTATAAATGATTCATTATAAAATGTGACATAATTTCTAAACTATATAAAAAAAATATATTGATTTTCAGAATAATATTTAAAAAATTAGAAAATAAATAGAAAATAAAATAATCTACCTCATTAAGAAATTCATCAGAAATATTCTGTGAATTATGTATTTTTTTTAGTGCCACAGGCATATCCTTGCTAATTATTTCATTGTTATAATAATAATTTATACTTTTATAACCATTTAACCAAGTAGCTTTGGATATAGTTGAAAACCCACCTTCACCTATCTTTTCAATATTTGTTAAATCATTATAAGGAATCCATTGAAGATGATAATAATTATCATACTTAGTTGCTTTAAGTTGTGTACTTTTAATCAACTCATCTAATGTTTCATTGCCACTAGTCCATCCTTCAGTTAATAGTTTTGGATCACATGATTGACACCATGAATAATTGGTATTATATCTGTTGCATGTTGGACATTTCCCATACATTGCATATCTTTTCTTTGAATATTCATCATTTTTATCAGTAAGGTATCATTATGATGTTTATTTTCACCCAAAGTGTTTTCCATTGTGGTTTTTTATTATATTTGTATAATTTGTACAATTTGTCAAAAAAAAATTTTTTCTAAAGAACTTTTTTTTTCAGCCACAAAATATGTATCACACAAAATATATTAATATATCAAAACCTGAATTACTCTCATAAATAAATTCGACATGCACCCCAAAGTCGTTAAAGACATAAACCGTAATAAATATTGCAAGTCTGTAAATGGCAAAATCACTAACAATCACACTGTTTGAATAGGGTTTCTATTCGAATAAGGTTTATTCGAATTATTTGTTTTACACGTTATGAATTTTGAGTTTTGAATTAAATTGGAAGTTTATTCGAATAAAATGAATAACGAATAATTTGATAATTCAAGTAGATAATTCAAATAAAAAATTGAATAAAACGAATAAACGAATAAATGAGTAGTTCGAATAGTTCAAATAAAACAAGTAATTCGAAATAAAACAAACGAATAAACTAAAACGAATAATTCGAAATAAAATAATTTGAAATAAACAAAATAATTTGAATAAAATAAAAACGAATAATTTGAATAAAACGAATAAACGAAATAATTCGAATGACTATAATTCCAATGATAGCAATTTGAATAATAAACGAATGATAACAATTTGAATAATAAACGAATGATACAATTCGAATAATAAATGAATGATAATAATTTGAATAATAAACGAAATGATAACAATTTGAATAATAAATGAACGATGATAACAATTCAAATAATAAAAGAATGATAACAATACGAATAATAAACGAACGATAGCAATACGAATAATAAACGAACGATAGCAATTCGAATAATAAATGAATGATGATAATTCGAATAATAAATGAATGATAACAATTAACGAATGATAACAATTCAAATAAACGAATGATAACAATTCAAATAAACGAATGAAAACAATTCGAATAAATGAGATGATAATTCGAATAATAAACGAATGATAACAATTTGAATAATAAACGAATGATACAATTCAAATAATAAACGAATGATGGTAATTCAAATAAACGAATGATAACAATTCGAATAATAAACGAATGATAATAATTCAAACAAAACGAATGATTGAATAATTCAAACAAAAATTTGTATTATGGATAGAAACTTTACTATATTGCAGAGTCATCAAATCTAGCACAATAATGTTTAAACTAAACTAAAATCACCATATACAACTACAATACTTGAGGCGTCCCTACAAGCAATATAGTAAAACCAATAAAAGGGGTTCCTAACTAATAATTAAATATTAGCCAAACCATTAATCATCAGAAAGGGTTATGAATCAATTAATGAAAGTGTCATTATTGAAAAATCAATTGTTTTTAAATTTTTTTTTCACTGAAGGAGATTTCAAGCATATTTATACTTCTTGAAGTATTACAAATAACATAACTTTTTACATGATTTTGTCCAATAAAATAAAATAAATGAATGATAACTAATTGACAATTACTAAATTAAATGTCAAAAATGTGTCATTGATGATTAAATGATACCTGATGAAATGTTTTTTGTCATAATTAATTAAAAATAAAATTATATTCATTGAAGTGTCAGATGGTAATCAGCTTCAATTTGTAAATGTTAACTCAAGTGTTGAGAATAATTTGTCTTCCTTGAAATATTATTAAAAGAAAAATATGGCAATGTGGCTCTGGACACATTTGTATTGTACCAATTCCATTCAATTCATTAATGTCATAGAAAACTTTGATGAACTTTCTTTGAAGTCAACACAGCTTTAATAGGACAGGCTTCTGATTTTTGCAGGAAATTCAAATAATTAGCTGAATAAATCCTGAACTAGAGATAAACATGTTTTTCCTTTTATTTATCAGATTTTAACTCACTTATTTAACTTATCAAAAAAATATACTATTGATACAGAATTAAAAGATCACAACAATCATGATTGTTATATTGTAGTCCTACATTAAACTAGAAACATCATCATCAAATCCATCATCTTTAAATATGTTAGTTCTCAAACCCATACTAAAAAATAAATAATTTATGAAGAGGAAGTAAAAAAGGAGTAGTATTTCTTTAAATGAAGCCTCATCAGAAGCTCAAGATGCTCAAACCTTAATGATGAATCTAACTCATTACAGCAAGGATTACTTGTCCTCACCACTCCTCTCATCACTTTCAATGTCAATTTTCTTATTTAGCAAGTGCATCAGTTTCACAGATCTCAGATGGTATTCAGAGGGTGCAAAAGAGAATTAGTGGAATATCTGGTTACTAGGTACTGGAGCAAAGTATCATCCTCATCATGATATTGTGAGATAGTAAAATGAGGACCGATAGAGAGGTCCCACGTTGCCGATCCAACCAAACCAAATTACTACGGAA